GATTTCAATTTGAAGCCGGCCTAAGCAGAAAGTCTAGGAGACTCTTCATTCCAATTAACCAGCCAAAAGCCAAAAGTGGAGATACGCTCAAGCAGTAGACTGCCAGACTTGAACAAAAAGGCCAAGTATGAGTGCCAGGGCCCTAAGTTCAAGCCTTAGTACTGGCAACAAACAAAACAAAACAAACCAAACAAAACAAAACAACTCCAACCAAAATAAAGTCTAGGCTAGCTTCCCTTCCCTCAACAGATGGAGAGATGAAACAAGTGAACACAACATGAAAACAAACAAAGGCTGTGTGTAACCCCTAGAATATAACCTCAATGAGGCAGGAGTTTCTTAGTGGTTTGTCTGGTAGGGCGCAGAACAAAGCTTAAAAGAGAGTAAGAGTTGACTGCACCTATACTGAATAAATGATGAGTGAATGAATGAATGTTCTGGAGAAGTTGAAATTTAGCCTAAGATCCTGGACCTTGGAAGTTGGTAGCTTGTAAGCCAGGACTGGGGAAGCAGGTGTAGGGCCCTGAAAGGGTGCAGTCACTGATCATGTCCCTCTTCCTCAAAATGGCCACTTTCTCAGTAAATAGTTAACTTAAAAAGAATCCATCTTCTCAAGAGTGATTTAGAAAATATACCTGTCTCCAGCATAGTGCCAGAGGAAAGAAAATCCAGCAAGAATCTCTCAAGAATTTTCAACTACTGGATTTTCTTTTCTTTTTTAACACTTGGGTCTAATGTTGAATTTGTGCTCCCTAAATCATCAGAGAAATATTAATCTGTAATTAAATTCAAATTACTCCAAGTTGTAGCAACCTAGGGATTCCAAAAATATCAAACAGTTGTTTGGTAGAAACCATACTATATTTAAGCCTTTAGATCTCTCATGGATTAAATTCAACCAAAGCAGCCCTCACAATTTGCAAAGTGGACAGATAAAAATTACAAAGAAGGGAGTGTTCCTGAATAACAGTCAGAGAGAGTGAAGTAAATGTATTTGGTCTGCAAAGCTTTTGGATCCTGGGATTACCTGCAGTAATGTGTCTCATCACTAAGAATGATCTATTTGAAAACAGAATCAGGAGTGATAGCATATTCCTGTAGTCTCAACTACTTGGGAGGAGTAGTTTGAAGAATTGTGGTCATAGGTTAGCCTGGGCCAGAGGCCTGGGACCTTACCTGAAAATAAGTAAAATAAAAATGACAGGGGGTCTGTTTCAGCTGGGAGATTGCCTGACTAGCAACTGTGAGGCTCTGAGTTAAAAATAACTCCATTACTAAATAAATAAATAAATGTAAAGATCGGATAAGGAAATGATCAAGAAAATATAGGTTCTTATATATAATCAGAAAGATTTGAGAAGGAGGCAGATAGTTTAAATATGAAGACAAAGAATTAGATTAATTTAATATGTTATATACAACTAAAAAATTTCTAAATGCAATAATAAAGTACAGATATTCCCAATCATACAAGGTTTTGTAACTAATTTTGTGGTGTTGGGGATCAAAAAAGGGGCCTCATGTATGCCAGGCAGGTGCTCTTCAGCCAGATCTTCAGTCCTTGTAATTAACATTCAATGAAAATATTCTGCAAAGCAGTGCATGCAAAGAAAAAAAACAAAATCCACAAGGAAACAATAAGATCTAGGAAGAAAGGACAAATAAATAACGTTGAAAATTCTATTGTTTGGGCATATGGAGTTAAGTATTATTTGAATTAATTTTACTTGGAGTTTCCATTTATATGTTTTACTTTTTAATGTGGCTACAAAGAAAAATTACAATAGGTAAAACCCCAAATGAATATAAGGATTGAAAAGGAAAATTATTACTGTTTCCAGGTGATCTTTGTAGAAAAGCAACCAAACAATAAATAACTTAATCCATCTATTTAGAAAGCTCAGCAAGAGTTGAATACAAGGTCAATTTCCACATAAACTTCAACCACATGTAATCTTTTAGAGAATGTATTAGAAAGTCAGACATGTTTTACAACAGACCAACAATAAAAATTATGCAGATGTTGATGCAATGAAATGAGTACCGGAATGGCAATTGAGGAGAAAGGATCAGGCTGGAGGTACACATGAGGAATCAACCAAAGAGTAACTGGCATTTGGGCCATTAGACAGGCTGAGCTTCTAGGAACAGTAAAGAAAAGTGGGATGAAGATGGAGCCTCTAACAGGGCAAGGGAGAGACTGGAGGAAATAAGAGAAAAACATCAAATCAAAGTGTCTGGTGGAGAGATTAATCATTTAAAATAATAGGTGAAGTAAAATAAGGATAGAAGATGGACCTAGGATTCGGGACTGGGAAGCTTCCTATCCCTGGGGTGACTTAGAAAGAACAGTTTCCATTAGTAAATTCTCTCAGCCCATTCTCTGAATGCAGTTGAGGCAAAACCATAATCAGAGTAGGGAAGGTCAAAGAAGTATAGACAGTGATTTGGAGATCTGCTGAGGAAGAAGGTGAGAAGAGGTACAAGGAAGGAGAAAGAGAGTCAAGAGAGGTTGCTGTGGATTTTAAAGGACTAGCAATATGTACTAGTATGACTAGCCTCTTCAGAGAAGGAAAAGCTAGCAGTGGAGGAGAGATGGAACTGAGTGGCCAAGAAAGATGAGGCCGAAGCTTCCAATGGAGGGGTTGCTTTTGATGGGATCATGGACAGTTCGTTGCTGTCAGCAGCAGAGAGTTGGAGATAAGGGCCCAGACTGGGGTAGCTGTGTAAATAAACAGGGCAGCAGCAGTTTGTAGATGCCTTCATTTTATGGCCTCTTGGCTCTCTGTGAAGTCAGAATTGTAGTATGGGAAGGTGAAAGCAGAGAAAGGTTCAAGAAGTGAATGCATAAAAGTCTAGAAAAGTGGAAAAGTTCTACTTTGTATCATACACACAAATGATGGTTTAAAGATTGAAAATGCTAAAGATTGAAATATGATCAGTAAGTTGATATCTGAAGATCAAGGTTTGAAGCCAATCAGGGCAGAAAAGTCTGTGAGATTCTTTTCTCAAAAAAAAGCTGGGAGTAGGGATATGGTTCAAGTGGTAGAGTACTAGCCTTAAGCAAAAAATATGAAGTGAGAGCACAAGGCTTTGGCTTCAAGCCCCATTGCCAGAGCACAGAAGGAAAAAAGAAAGCAAGAAAGGAAAAAAGGAAGAAAGAATGAAAGAGAGAGAGAGAAAAAAGAAAGAAAGAAAGAAAGGAGGGAGGGAGAGAGGGAGGGAAAAGTGAAGTGGGGAAGGAGGGAGGAAAGGAAAAAAGGAAAGAAGGGAAGAAAAGAAAAGATTGAAACAAAAATACAAATCCCCCAGCTAGTGAAAGAAAATAGAAAAGGATGATTTTTTTTTTAATCATTTGGAGCAAGAATAGATTTCTTTTTTGGGGGGGGGAGGGGTCCAGTCATGGGGTCTGAACTCCAGGCCTGGGCGCTGTCCCTCACTCTTCAGCTCAAGGCTAGCACTCTACCACTTGAACCACAGCGCCACTTCCGGCTTTTTTTCTGCTTATGTGGTGCTGAGGAATCTAACCCAGGGCCTCAAGCATGCAAGGCAAATGCTCTACCACTGAACCACCTTCCCAGCCTAAGAATAGATTTCTTTTTTTTTTTTTTTTTTTTGGAATCCGGTCTTGGGGCCTGAACTCTGGGCCTGGGCGCTGTCCCTCAGCTCTTCAGCTCAAGGCTAGCACTCTACCACTTGAGCCACAGCGCCACTTCCGGCTTTTTTCTTTTTGCTTATGTGGTGCTGAGGAATTGAACCCAGGACCTCATGCATGCAAGTCAAGCACTCTACCACTGAGCCACCTTCCCAGCCCCAAGAATAGATTTCTTAAACAAGACCTTGCTGTGGTTTGTTCTTCCAAGAGCACAGGTAATGAGGACATGGGCTCAGCTCTCATAAAGGACTTGAACAATTCCTGAAAGGCAAGGTAGATTGTCTTGAGACTGGGTGTTGCAAAGAGACACTAGCACCTCCTCTCTCAAATGTGTCCCTCCTCCTTGTACACCCTGGTTTTCTTGCACTTCTTGCATGTTGTGGTGCATTGTGAGGCTGTCATAAGAAGTTAAGAGATGCTGGGCACCAGGCTTCCAAACAGGCTTTCAAATCCCTGACTCAAAAAGAACCTCTTTTCTTTACAGCCAAAGGTATTTTGTTACATCAATACAAAATAGCTACAACAAATCTCCAAAGTAAAGGCAGATCTGCCTACCAAATGCTCCCAGCTCAAATAACACCATTTTTAAATGGGCAAAAGATCCAGACATTTAATAAGGTCAAACATTAAAATGTTTACTAAACAAATAAAAATATACTCGATGACATTCAGTCTCTGGGAAAATCAAATGATGGTTGGTTAAAGTATGTTCATTCATACAAAGAAGTAAATACATATAATTCAAGCATATATATGTACAGGAAACTATCTGGATGATTCTTAAAGACAAATTGAGTGAAAGAGCAAGACGTAAGTCTGCATCGTTCCAATTCAGAAGAAGTAAGCCTAATGCACTACGAACTATATAAACTCAGTTATGGCTGGGGCATGAGGAAAGACTAGAAAATTTATGAGGAAAATTCTGGTAAGATGAAAATTCTCTGTGCCTTTGTTTGGGTGATGACTATACTGATTATATACATATATATATATATATATATTCAAAACACATGGTGTCAAAACACATCAGAGAGAATGTGATAAATTTATAATTAATATTATACTAAATAGGGAAAATATGGAAGTATGTTTTCTAAAGCTGAAATGAGACACAGCTGTCAACTCCAAGGGAATGGAACACTTATTATTAAATAAGACTAGCCTGCGTAATAAGGCATGAGAAAGAAAAAAGATACAAATAAAAAAAGAAGAAGTCAAATTATCCCTATTTGCAGATGCTAAGATTTTATACTTAAAAACCCCTAAAGATTCCACCAAGAAACTGCATATATGATAAACATTTTTGGTAGAGTAGCAGTACACAGAATCAACATACAGAAAATCTGTGTTCGCTTCCTCAGCACATATACTAAAATAGGAACGATACAGAGAAGATTAGCATGGCCCCTGCGCAAGGATGACATGCAGAATCAACATACAGAAAATCAATAGCTTTTCTATATATATCAACAATGAATATACTGAATAAATCAGAAAATCCCTTTTACAACAGCATGAAGAAAATTAAAGTACTTAGGAATAAACTTAACCAGGGAAGTGAAAGACCTCTATAGAATTCTGAAGAAAGAAATTGAAGAAGACATTAGGATATGGAAAAAAAAAAACTATTTTCCTGAGTTGACAGAATTAATATCATGAAAATGGAAATACTGTCTTAGTCAATCTACAAATCAATGTAATACCCATCAAAATACCGATCATTCTTCACTAGAGAAAACAAATAAAAATTCATATGGGATCACAAAAGCCTCCAAATTGCAAAAGCAATCTTGGACACAAAAAGTCATTCTGGAGCTATCACAAAAACTAGCTTCTAATTATACTGTAGAACTATAGTAACAAAAACAGCTTGGCATTTGCACAGAAATAGACATGGAGACCAACAGAAGACAACAGAAGACCCAAAAGTAAACCCATACTGCTATAGCCATCTACATTTCAAAACAACACTGAAAATCTATGTTGAAGAAAACACAGCCACCTCAACAAATTGTGTTGGAAAAACTGGATATCTATACATAGAAAACTGAAGTTAGACTGCTATCTCTCACTGTGTCTAAAAATTACTTGAAAATAGATTGAAGATTTAAATGTAAGGCCTGCAACTTTGAATCTACTGAAGGAAACCACTTGAAGATACAGGCATAGTAAGTATTTTCTGAATGGGACTTTAATAGCTCAGGAAATAAGATCAAAATTGACAACAGGATTGTAGCAAAATAAAAAGCATCTGTAGAGCAAAGGAAATAATTTCTAGAATCAAGAGACACCATTCAGAATGAGACAAAAATCTTTGCTGGCTATTCATCAGATAAAGGATTAATATCCAGAATATATAAAGAGCTCCAAAAGAACAAACAATCCAATTAATAAACGGGAGCATGAATTGAACAGTTACTTCTCAAAAGAAGTGCAAGTGGCCAATAAATACATGAACAGATGTTTATCATTCTTGGCCACAAAAGAATGATGATCAAAATAACACTTGAGATTCTAGCTCACTCCTGTCAGAATGGCAGTCATCAAGGAAATAAACAAGAACAAATGTTGAAGGGAATGTGGGGGAAAAGGAACCCTCACACACTGTACCAACAGGGAATATAAATTAGTTCAGTAACTATAGAAGTTCTTTAAAAGAAACTAAAATAGAGCTGTCATACAATCTGGCTATCATACTCCTGGGCATATATCCAAAGGAATGTAAATCAGCATGTAAGAGAAGCACCTTGCACATCCATGTTTATTCGAAGCACTCCTGACTATAGCCAAACTATGGAATCAGCCTAGATATCCATTAACTGATGAGTGGATAAAGAAGACATCATACTTGTGCATGGATGCACACACCACACACACACACACACACACACACACACACACACACACACACACACAATGGAACATTATTCAGACATGAGAAGAATGAGAGGATATTGTCTGCAAGAAAGTGGCTAGAACTGGGAATTGCAATGTTAAATATAATAAGCCAGATGGAGAAAGAGAAGTATTGTATGTTTTCTTTCATACATGAAGTCTAGACCTAAAAAGCCCCATGAATGACACATATGTAAAATGGGGGGACTGCTTGGTGGTGGTAGGAGGACAAGAGAGCGAGGAAGGTGAAAGGAAAGGGGGAAGTGGGTGTGAATATCATTAAAGTACTTCATACGCATATATGAAATCAAATGCTGAAACCTTCCATGTTAAACACGAAAGCTGTGTAAAATGGGGAAGGGGATAATGAAGAGGAATAGATTAAAAGCACATTGTATACATGTATAGATATATCAGAGTAAAGCTGCTTTGAACAATTAATATACGCTAATTTAAAAAAGAGGAGAAAGTCCACATTGACCCAGTGCAGTGGGTCATGTCTGCTATTTCCTCGGCTCAGTAAGTGGAGATGAGATAGATTGCAATTCCAGATCAACTCAGAGGAAAAGAAGTCAGTGAGTCTCCCATCTCAACAAAAAAGATGGGAGTGGTGGTTCATGTCTGTTATCCCGGCTCTGCAGGAAGATCAAGCAGGAAGATTGTGGCCCAGGACAGCCTGAGAAAAACTGTACAAAGCTACCTGAAAAAAACAACAACTAGAGCAAAACCAAGTGAGGATATGGCTCAAGTTATAGAGTATCTGCCTAGAGAGCTGAGCCCTGAGTTCAAACCTCAGAAACATGCACAAACCTAAAAACAAACCTAAAACCAAACAAACAGAAAAACCCACAGAAAAGTAAATGATTAAGATCTGAACATTTAATGGAAACTATTACAACTATGAAAGACCTATACATAGAGAAACCTTAGATATCTGTTAGGGATCATTACTTACCCAAGGACTGGTAATAATCATTTTATAAATGGCCTCTGTCAAGGGAGGGAAGGATATGAGAATAGCATGCAAAATACATTACATAAAATAATGTTAGCACCTGGAATCTCAGCTACAAGGGAGATAGAGACGGGAGGATATCAGCTCCAGAGCAGCCGTGCAAAAGTTAGCAAGTCCCTTAAACTGAGTGCTGGTGGGTGGTTCACACCAGTAATCTAGCTACTCAGGAGGCTGAGATCTGAGGATCACAGTTGGAAGCCAACCCAGGCAGGAAAGTCCATGAGTCTCTTATATCCAATTAATCATACATATTAAAAAAAAAAAAAAAAGAAAGAAAGCTGGCAGTGGAGCTGTGGCTCAAGTGTAGAGCATTAGCTTTGAGGAAAACAAAAGGCTCGGGGACAGTGCCCAGGAGCTAAGTTCTAACCCTAGAACTGGCATGAACACACACACACACACACACACACACACACACACACACACACACACACACACACACACACACACACACACACACACACACACAGAGTTAACAACTTCCTATCTTGAAAGACAAGCTGGGACTGCATGTCCATCATCTTAGTTAGGGAGTAGGTAGAAGAGGATTTGAGTCTGAGGTCAGCCCCAGAAAAAAAGTAGGACTCTATCTGAAAAAAAAATTAAAGCAAAAAGGCTGGAGGTTGGCTCAAGTCCTTGCCTGAGTTCAAATCCTATCATTGCCACAAATAAATAACATAATAAATAAACAAATAATAAATAAACGCTTGAACAAATGAAGACAATTTGCCATGAATGAGAGCAGTTCTATATACACTTTGTCCTTCAGGTGACAAAAGAAAGTAGGTAGAAGGCAGGAAATGAAGTAAGACAAAGTGGGAAGGAAAGGAAAATGGAAATGGAGGACTGCAGGGAAGAAAAAGAGGAGGAGGAGAAAGGGGAGGGAAAGGGGAAAAGGGAGAGGAGGGAGAGGGGAGAGGGGGAATGAGAAGAAAAGGGAGTGGAAGAGAGAGAGAGAGAGGGTAGGGAGAGTAAGAGTAAGACGTTCTTCCTTTCATTCTGACTGACCTCCCCATATGTACGTCATAGATCTTGGGGAGGAAGGACTCCTTAATTTGTTTTAGGTAAGTCCTTTCTGCCAGTGGCAGAACTGTTGGCTGGCTAGTTAGTTCATGGGTATCAAGAGACTTTGTATCAAATGCCAGATGTGCATCTTGATGCACAGACAACCCTTTCATTGGAATACTGGAAAGAAAACCCCTGGCAGTGTTTTATTGGAAACACTTTAAAGGCAGGGGCCTCTGTGATTTTAACCAGAAGGTGACCACAGGCCACGGGTGGCCTTTTAATTACTGAGCAGGCCCCACTACAGGTGCACAAGGTGGTTTTAAACATGTAAGAAATCTGTGGTGTATGTATGTCTTTCAAAGGATTCACCACTCTTGCCTTCATGTGCTGTGTCAGGCCTGCAGCACCCCGCACTGGATCCCGGGGCTCTCATTTCTACCCTCACCTGCCTGTCTTCAGCTCAGCATACTAGTTCCTTGAGTCCACCCTGCTATACTCATGGGCTCAGTGCTGGGCTGTAGAGATTGAGTTTTTGCCCTTTAGGATCTCAGATCCAGAGTGGAAGACACAGCCAGAAAGACAAACGTTGAAAAGAGTCCTGGATCCTGGGTCCCAGGGGTCCAAAGTCAGGTTCTGGACCTGACTTTAAGAGAGATTCCCAGTAACTGGGCAGAAGCTCCAACACTTAAGGGGTTTGGGACCCGAATAGAGCCAAGCTACTCTCCGTCCCTAGATGCCTGCCGGCATACAGGGCAAAGCCTGAAGGGGGGAGGCCCACAGAGATGAGGACAGGCCTGGCCAGGCCAGGACCAGCATGCTTCTGGAAGCCCCTGCTGCTGCTAGGCGAGATGAGCCATGGTAAAGGCTTAATGAAACAGATAATGTTGTTTGCATCATACTCCAGACTAATATCCAGCAGGGCCTGAGCTACCGTGAGCTACAGGACCAAAAGACTCAGTTTCAAGTGCCAGTTTCACTTCTTCCCAGCCAGGTCACTTGTGTCAAGTTAGTCAGTCTCTTTCAGTTGAATTTCCCCATTTCAAAAAGAAGGAAGTGCATGCCTGTAACACTAGCTATTCAGGAGGCTGAGATTTGAGGATCATGCTTCAAAGCTAGTCAGGAAAAGAAGTCCATAAGACTCTTAGGTTATTCAGCAAAAAGTTGCACATGGAGGTGTGGCTCAAGTAGTAGAGCATCAACTTTCAGTGAAAAAGACAAAGGAGAGCAAGAGGCCTTGAGTTCAAGCTCCAGTACTGGAGTGTACTTGCATGTGTGCAGTCATGTGTGCACGCACACACGCATGCGTACATACACACACACACACACACACACACACACACACACACACACACACACAGAGGAGGTGGTGACACCCACTGCAGCAAGGGTACTGCAGATGAAGGAACACTGAACCCCAGGGTTACAAAGTGTGGAATAGACACCACCCTCAACCCTCCTCTACTGAAACACCAATTTCCAGTGGAGCTGCTCCCATCTTCCAATCAAAGCAGGGAGCTGCCTGCTGGCTATCAGGAGCTAGT